ATTGCATCTAAGATGACTTCTGTTACCAAATTATTTATGACTAGCTTTTGCCCGCGGCTTCACCCGCGTGAAATTTAGTTTGTCACATATCGTCATAAATTATAGCCTATATGTTATTCTGGGTTTTATACAATAATACTAAAAATTCAAATTAATTTATTTGCACACTGCTGCACACTACTGCAAAGTTTCATCAAAATCCGTTCAGTAGTTTTTGCGTGAAAGAGTAACAAACATGTTAACATCCAGTTCCAGACATCCATACAAACTTACGCATTTATAATATTAGTAGGACTATGCTACATAGTACCTACCTACCTACAGCATCAGTTAAGTAATTTCTTCCAGTCAACTCTTGAGCCAAACAGAAGTTAGAGTAGGCATGTAACAAAAAAGTTATTCATGAATTTAATTAGATTTATTTTAGATAATGACGTGTAGAATTTCAGCTTTACTATAACTATAAGGCATTTAGACTTCCTATAGTTCATGACGTTCATGTGTAGATTGCGCAAGGGCAAGTTTTATAATTTTTACTAGCTTTTGCCCGAGGCTTCGCCCGCGTGAATTTTTTGCGTTTCAAAAACCGGCATAAATCTATCTTATCTAGCTAATCCTTTGATTTTCTCTAGTTCTAAAACTATCTGCGCGTCTATCTAATTGGTTTCAGTGGTTTTTAGCGTGAAAAAGTGTGACAGACAGAGTTGCTCTCTATAAAATGACCTATTAGCAAGCACGGCTATTAGTTACCTATTTACCTATAATGATTGATTGATGGATTACCATACCCACGATTATGCTAAAATTAGGTTTATTTTTAACTCTTGACCGTGACTTTTTCGTAATATTGAAACACCGTTGAATGCACAGTTATGGATTAGAGGTTGAATGGCATTGATGAGGCGAATGTTAAATGAGAAAAAAAATTAAATAAAGGTAGCACTAGTACTAAGTGGTCGGGCGAGCTGATGGCCGATAATGGGGCAGAAAAATAGCGAGTGGCGACCATGGGCCGGAAGCGTAGTGTGGGCAGGCCCCCTAGCCCCCCACTAGGAGGACGGACGATCTCGGGAGGACCTGTCGTTATGGAAATCCTTGGGGGAGGGAGGCCTTTGTACAGCTATGGACATCATTTGGCTGAAACGAACGAGGGATACAAAATCGACATCTATTAGGTATCACCTGTACCTCTAGCATGAACAACTTTCGTCTTCGAATTGTTTGCGTATTCGATACTCAATCTTCGAATTAAACGATAACGTGGAAACCACATCTCATACTAAGTTCACTTTACGACACGTTCACAAGGGCGCTGTTGTAGTTTTCTTACTAAATCTTTTAATGGCGATTCGAGTAGGTACGCAAACGATTTGAACTCGAAAGTTTTTCGTGCTAGCCGTACTGGTATCACAAAAGCTATTCTATCCTATTGTTGTAGGTAGGTAGGTAGGTAAGTAGGTATGCCTGTTTGGTTAAATTGTTAATACAGTGTAAAACCTGTGGTAAAATCTGAGGGTAAAACTAACTTAACTGCATTACTTATGTAAAAAATCTTACATATTAACAACTTATAATAGGTAAGCCACATTTCCCATTACGTCAAATACGTAAGATAGAATGAACCAAGCCACTGGTACTCAACTTTTTTGTAGGAACCCGGCCGTTTTTACAGCTGAAGGAGGAGGGAAGCTGACGAGCGACGATATTTATTTTCGTATGGGTGTGGTATGGCTGTATGGCTGCTATACCAATGAAAACATAGGACCTACCTATCTAAAAAAACGATATTATTATTTTTAGTAGTTAACTTCCGAAATCGCTCACGTTTGGATCAATCAAAAAATTATTGATGACCTAAGTTTCATTCATAAATTTAAATTACCTTTAAATTGTGAGTTTCATGACTCTCTCTAATTCAACCGCCAAATGAAGCATTTGGCCTGGAATTGGCCTACTAACACTTCTCACTTCTCACGCTGGAGACAGATTGGGGAAACCTAATGTTTGCATATTTGTACCTAAAGTAGGTACTTAGTCGCCTCTACGTTGGTCTCAGACTTTCTTATTATTAACCACATTTTCATCTGTAATTTTGTATCAATAAAACCTTACATCGCTTTACTACTGGGCCTACCATGAAGAATGAAGATGACAGGGCACATAAATCGTCCATCACATAACAATTGAAGATTGTCAGTGCATCCGGTTGTTTTCACGCTTGGCCAACCATTGTCTTAATTTCACACACGAATGTGTAGATACGGGGCCGATCGGCGACCATTCGCCATTCAGATACAAGAAGTGGGTATTTCCCTGCTTCCTTCTTCAATCTTGTAGTCACGCACCACGATTTTAGTTCTTGACCCAAAATAACAGTTTGTAGTGCAACATTAGCTATGATGAAGTCGCAGGGCCTGTAACGTTGTTTCCAAAGTTACTTAGGCTGGGTTGCACCATCTTACTGTAGCTTTAACAAACGTCAAAAATCTGTTAAATTTCATACAAAAAACACCGGATGTCGTTATAGTTACGGTTAAAGTTTGATGGTGCGACATAGCCTTAGTATTAAAACTCACTAATTCGAAAGTCCGTGTATGCCCGTGTTAGAACCAGTTTGTCTATTATTTATTTGCGCTGTTAAAAATGTTTGAAAGGACATTGCTTTTGAGCAAATAAATAAAATAATAAATAAAATAAAAATTCTTTATTTCAGACAATTTTTAAAAGTCCATATTAAACGGGTTCAAAAATAAACATACACACAAACAATTATAAATTCAAAAAAACTTGTACCCTGTGCAGAGACGGACCATCATGGGGGTGCGTCTCTGCACAGGGTACAAGTTTTTTTGCAAAGGGTGTGTCAAAAAAAGTACATAATACTTCACATTTTTACTATTATTACATTTTTAGATTAGTATTTTTGAAACCGCTTAAAAAGTTTAGTCAAGTCGATTTGTTTTGCACGTCCAGGCACTCTTTCAAGAGGGAGATTTGCGACTTATTAGGTAAATGAAAACACACGCACATGCCCTCACACGCACACACACACACACACACACACACAATCTGCATGCAAGCCTATGTTTCTTTTTTGCCCCTTTGACTGTTTTTTACGAGGTTGTAATAATATATAGAATCCATTATTGGCTGTAAGAACAAAAATACCTGTTTGTATTATTATTATAAAGAGCTGTGGTTTTCTGAATAAAGAAAAATAATATAAAAAAATTCAAATGTGATTGATTATGAACGCTGGACCGCATTCATGCGTTCAGCTACTACTCCGTTAGTTACTTTATTATTATGATTGTACTAATTAACATTTTTGGATAATAATCAACCGACGGACTCACAGGTCAAGTTTCCATGAAGTAGGTAGTTAATACGTAGCCAATCGTGTTTTTGCTTAGCACACACTTCCTGTTAACTCTTTCGCAAGCCTAACTGGACTGAACATTAATTTGAACAAATCTATACTAATATTAACGTGAAAATAACGCTGTATGTCTGATTGTTGTGTTTTTAGTTTTCACGGGGCTTTGAAGAACTTATAGAGATAGACCTTTTGACACAATAATACTTAAAAAGTGGTTAAAGGTTCGTTAATCTCTCAGTATTTCATAATCCTAGTATAGTAGGGGCGCTTTAGCGTTTATGGAACTCATAACAATATTAAAATGTAAAAGTTTATGGATGGATGGATATTTTTTCTCTCAGGCACTGTGGACAGGTTCAGTGGTTTAGTTAGAGGTTACTAAACCACTGAACCGATTTAGATGAATTGGATATAAAAAAGAATTTGTTTGAGACCGCGAATCCGCGGGCAAAAGCTAGTGTTTGTAACAGCACAAAACAGTGTGAATTCACACTGTACCTAATGTTTACCGGAATTGGGCAAAACATTCAAATCAAATTCTTGATCTGAGATTGATACTCACTTGAGTTATAATTTATTAAGATGTTATGACTTTGTTTTTAAGATGTTTTATTTACATTAATGCTTTCAAAATACGAGGACGCGAATGTGTATAAGTTTACCTAGGAAGCTTGACCTTTTACATGCGTCATAGTATAGTATAGTAACGATAGTGATTGTGCAACAATCAATGCGTTCTGCGAATACTGTTTTAATTATAGCTAGCTTCTGCCCATGGTTCCGGTCTACTTGGATTTCAATTTAGTCTTTTTTTTTTAAATAGCAGCACGTTAATCTTATGGAAGTTGTTCTAATAGACAATTTTACAGAAAAAATTCATAGTTAAAGTTTATCTTCTTTGAACATGAGTATAACGTTAACAACAAACAGACAGCGAGTTTTACTCTTTAATTATAATAATAGTAGTGTTAGTGCCTATCTATGTACTTAGCAATGATTTTGATTTATTTGTGGTTAAAAATAAAGATTATAATCGACCTCGACCACATTTGAATTTGAATGCAGCGAATCCCAGGTTCATTTCCTAAGCTTTTTCAAGTCAGTTTAAATTTAGAATACTATTCGCATAAGCTTTGGAGGCGTATTTATGGGGTCTCACCAGAAATCTAGGTACATTACTTACTTCTTAATTATAATTAATATTATGTATTAATAATATGTTATCTGTTACTATTGCGACTATTACTCAAGAGGTACCTATACTTATTCCTTTTGACCAAAGGTTTTTTACACATGATAAAAATCCTATGACATCATTCGCTTTCGATACTTCTGTGTATCTTAAATTGGAAGTCTTGCAGAATAAAAATAAAAACTGGGCGGAGACTAGGTACCTACTAGGTAGGTCACGTTTTTGCTAGTTAATATTAGTTATTTATTACGCACCTACCTAGTTTTAAGAAGACCGCGCCCAAATCCAAATCAAGTTCGGGTAGTTTTTGTATGGGAATAAGTAAACTAATATTAATAGATTTAAGTAGGTACTTAGTATATTTACTAAAATTACATCAGTATGTGGGTACCTATGTCTTATGCCATTAAATAATAGGTAGGTGTAATTTTTCATGTTACAAAATAAATAAGTTTAAGCCGATTAAGTTACTAATAAGAATTTATTCTGTGATAATACTGAGATGAAAATATGACCATTAGGCGTGTACCTAAGTCATTATGAATTTAAAGGCGGAAACGTTATGCGATTATTATCTAAGAAGGATTTCATTGTATGTTGTACCTACATAAAAACTCCCATTAAGCCATTTATTAAAAGTGCATTAACAGTTTCCTTAATCTGCTGTATATTATATTTTCAAAATCCTTCGCCCATATGAAATCTAAGTGATTGAATCGCTCCAATGGGATTTTGTAAATGTCAATCGCACTATCTAAATGACTGTACAACTCATCCACATCTGTAGGGTGTGACAACCAGTCGGCATCGCTGTAGAATAACGAGATCGGCGCAACTATGTTCTTCAGGTTATACTTAGGAGGCTGGCTCGAACCGTACCTTCGCACGTTCTCCGAGTGGCCGTAATCAAACTGCCTGAACTCTCTCGAGATAACTCCCTGCCCATAATGCACAAACTGCTTCGATGAAGCACCAGACGGCACATGAGAGTATATCACAGGCAAATTCGTCACATTCAACTGGTCAAACCCGAAACCAACCATCAAAAACAACACATTACTACAAAGGATCTCCGCCAATGGTCCGCTGCCGCACATCAGTTGCTTCATAGTCCGCGTCAACGAGCTGTCCGGAAGAAACTCATATACGCCGATTGACTTCAATAGCCCGTAAAGAAGATTGCTTGTCGGTGACAAGAGTCGTATTAAAGGCGAATTCGCATGTGACATAAAAGCCACCGGTGAGAGAGCAACCATCAATGAAATCTTTTCATTGTACTCCGGCCTTTCAGATGCCATCACGAAGAATGACGTCGTCCCCTGTGAGTGTCCGATGTACTTCAGCGATTTCTGCTCTGTAATGTTTAAAACGTAATCGATCATAGCCGGCAAGTCGTAGCAGCCGATTTCGTGCCAAGAGAAATCCCAGAAGATGGCGTCGGATGCCTTGAATTCCATGTGATTTCTTGAATGTTTGTTTCCTCGAGCATTGCCCAGCCAGACGTCGTATCCTTCTCTAGCGAGGATATACGCGAGAGAACTCTCCGGGCCCGCTATCACGTAGTCGTCAGCACTTCCCAGCAGCCCGTGCATAAGAAACACTGCAGACCCGTTGCTTGGGATACGGAACATCTGGAGGATGTATCCGTCTTCCGTGACTGCTCTGTGTCGCTCCATGGGGTATCCATATTTGAGAATGAGTTCCGCGACGTTCAACCTCACGTCCTCGTTGTTTGACCCTACATTGAAGTCGGTTACTATATTTTGGGAGTAGTCGACGATGTTGCTGTCGCTGAGTAGGCTTGGAAAGTTGATCGTAGGGTGGAAGGACCTGGCTGTGGCGAGAGGGATGGCGGTCAGTCCCTGGATGAGAGTGGAGAATACGTTCCCGGAGACTTGCGAGGCCACCTGCACCAGCGGCTGGTCGGCCAGTAGGTTTGTGAAGCTCCGCGCGTTTTTCGCCAGTCCGGGAAATAGGATGTCCGCCAATTGTGCTCGGGCGGCCGCAGTCGCAATCACGATTATAAACAGGTATGTTATGTTAACCTTAGCCATCACACGAGTGATCTTTGGGTGTTTTAAAAATGAACTGATCGCTCTCCGACTTATCGACCTTGGCGATCATGTTTTTTGTTCAATTGGATTTAGTGACGTGAGATGATTTTCCGCTAGCTTTGGACAGAACCATAGAGTACCTAACTAGTACCACATCCTTTGCATGGTCCGCTCCACCACGGCGAACATCGGCCACTGCCATTAAAATAAATCAACATTAAGTGCTGTTTATTACATACTACTGAATACTATAATAATGATCAACACTATTATTCACCAGTAGTAAGTACTCGTAGCTGTAGCAATGGTGCAAAAGATAGAGTTACATACATTAACTAACTGTCGTTATACCACAGTAGTTATACTGTGCATACCACAGACTACCAAATATCCTTGGTAGTCGAAAAGTGTTTTATCTGAATTTTATTGCTTTTGTCATTAAATAATTGTGTCTAATAATATACGATTTGTTGTGGGGGGTATGTACCTAATAACACTCTGTGGTCAGTTTTTATGAGCCCAAACCAATAACTATACCTTATTAAATTAACAAACTATAAAGACGTAAAAACCTTATTAACAAAATTCTAATGCCATTACCATATAAAGCGTTTTGTCACTACATAATATCTCAGAAATCGAACCCAGGACTTTCAGATCACTGGAGTCCAAGTTGCAACCACTAACATTACGCAGGCTACCTGACCTACAAAACCTTTTCGTACCTACAACAGCTCTCAAACTTTTGAACAGATGGAAAATTAATATCAAAACACAACTAGGTAATACGTAGGTAATTTTATTTCTAGAATATACGAAACTAATTATTAATTGATTATTTTGTTGTATTTTCAATAAAAATAGTGTGTTGACTTTGACTGTGGTACTTAAGATGGCAGAAGTTTAGAACAGTTCAGCAAGTTACTTGATACCCTATGATAAGAAAAGCTAATGCTGAAAAAAAATATTATTCACTAGCTTTTGCCCGAGGCTTCACCCGCGTGAAATTTAGTGTCACAGATCGTCATAAATTATAGCCTATGTGTTATTCTGGGTTATAAATAATAATACTGTAAACTTTCATCAAAATCCGTTCAGTAGTTTTTGCGTGAAAGAGTAACAAATATCCATCCAGACATCCAAACTTTCGAATTTATTATAATACTAGCTTTCCGCCCGCGGCTTCGCCCGCGTGGAATTTTGTCTGTCACAGAAAAACTTTATCGCGCGCGTCCCTGTTTCAAAAACCGGGATAAAAACTATCCTATGTTCTTTCCCGGGACTCAAATTATCTCTATGCCAAATTTCATCAAAATCGGTTGCGAGGTTTAAGCGGGAAAGCGTAACAGACAGACAGAGTTACTTTCGCATTTATAATATTAGTTGGGATTAGTAGGATTTGTTTGACTCATTCTTCCATTAAACAATTTCATAAACCCTAGCTGAAGCCGTACCACCCCAGAAGGGCTCCGCGGGAAACAGTTTGAGTACCGCTGACCTCGATCTACTAAATTAATATTTTTAAAGAGGAAAGTTTTGTATGTTTGTATTGAATAGGCTCCGAAACTACTGGACCGATTTGAAAAATTCTTTCACCATTTTTTTTTTAATTGTTGACAGATACTTATCTACCTAACTAGAGCTACCCAGCCCACCCATGCGAAGCCGGGGCGGGCCGCTATATTCAATAATATTCATGTAACATTTATAAATGTAAGGATTAAAAAAATGTGTAGGTGCTACATACAAGCTTTATAGCCTGTCTTTAATAGAAGTCAAGATAATAATAATATTGAATGGAAGGGAATCACCGAAATCGCACTTTTTAGAGACTGATGCCCGTTTCCACCATCAATCCCTAACTTTTAAGTGACCCCTATGGTGACATATAACAGGAATTTTGTTTTCAAAGGGGTCACTTAAAATTAGGGATTGATGGTGAAAACGGGCTTAATAGACGCATTACATAGATGGAGTCGCGGGAAAAGTCTAGCTATTGTTGAATATGAAAATCAATTTGTGCATTGTTTTGTAAAAATTAATTTCTGCAAGTTACAAGTTTAAAATGCTTGTTCAACTGTTCTACATTGTTACATGCGTCGTTTCATGTCGTGAATCAATTTTAATAAAGTTACTTAGTTTGTGGTAAATTAAGTAAATAATAGCGTAGTAGATGTAACTCCTGGGTTCGATTCCCAGGTGGGTGTGGGTAAAAATACTTTTTATGGTTTTACTTGTTTAATGAGTCTTGGATACAATTGACAGAATGACGAAGGTGACGAGTATGTTTCTTGCTTAGGAAGGCACTAGCTCGGTATAATTGAGCCCTATAACTTTAACTATAACAAATATCAACAGTATGTCAAACTCCATACAAAAATACCGGTTAAAGATAGTTACAATACGGTTAAAGTTAAGATGAAGCTTAAGCGGGTAAAGAAATAATGAAATGAACTTTAAAATAAAATGCACATTGTGACCCAATTATTAAATGTGATAATAAGTAAATGTGCTAAGCGAAAGGTCGTGGGTAGGTTCGATTCCCATTTTAGCTGATTCGATTTTTTCAAGTTATTTAAGTTTAGTTTGAGATGTGAATCTTTACGATTTAAAATTTAAATAAGAATTATTATCACCCGTCTCGAATGAATCGAACCTGCATCCAGACAACTTTGTATTATTCTGCCGTTCTATTTTACCTAAACTGAACAAGGAAGGTTCCTGTATCTTAGGTTATAATTTAATTTTGTCAACGCTGTACTCAGGCTTGCATGATTTAAATCAAGATTATTTATTAAATCTATTTTTATTGCATGATTTTTTAAATAAAAATCACTGATTTAAATCAATGACCGAAAATTTAATTAATGAACGGCTGGGAGTTTATATGAATCAACTGTAATGTTCGAAAACAATGTTAATATTAGGTGTTAATGTGTGAAATTGTCGTTTTGTATGGAGAATCTGAAAAAAAATATTTTTTCCATACAAACATTACTTATTTGCGATTTTTAGATAACCACATAATTTATTTTTTTGGCGGTGTTGCAATACATCAATTCTACGTAAATAAAAACCGGCCAAGTGCGAGTCGGGCTCGCACACCGAGGGTTCCGCCATACAAACGTAGCGGTTTACAATTTATGACGTATTAAATCAAATTACTTACTTGATTCCGTTGCGAGTAGTGGCGAATTTCAAAATATGCGTTATGATTATTTTTTATTTATTTATTTTTCCTATATTTGCATTATAGGTAGGTCTCCTCAGCGTTTTGAATTTTTGCGTTGATTTAGAATTTCTCACAGTTTAGAGGCAATTAGATTTAAGAAGTGTTTGATATGAATTTCAACTTTAATATCTCTACGCGTTCATGTGAAAAAGGGTAGGTAGTAAGTTTATAATTATTAAAAAAATATTTTATGTCATGTAAGCAAAAATAATATTTTATATTTTATATAACTTCGAATTTATCATTTTCGCAATTTTCCCTTTATCTGTAACTATATAACGTTGCTTCGTGCCGAATTTCAAGATTCTGAGTTCACAGGAAGTACCTTGTAGGTTTTGATTCCCTAGCGTGTGACGGAAATTCGTCTAAGGTGTCGTTATAAACTGCTGTATCTTTTGATCGCGTTAGCTTAGAAGTTTGATTTTTTTACTTCTTAAAGGGACAATAGATCTAGGTATTTGGTATAAATTTCAATTTGATACCTTTATTCGTTCGTGAGAAATAAGGTAGTAAGTTTCATTTTATTAAAATACTAGCGGCCGCCCGCGACTTCGTACGCGTGGATCCCGTTTTACCCCCTTCATCTATCTTACGCGGTTTAGATTTTTTCATACAAATGTTTTTTCCCGCTATCTCCCGTTCCCGTGGGAATTTTGCAATATCATGTTGTAACTAAGCTTTAAGTTTACTAAGGTACCTGCATGCCAAATTTCAAGCGTCTAACTTAAGCGGTTTAGATTTTTCATACAAAAGGATTTTCCCGCTAATTCCCGTTCCCGTGGGAATTCCTAAGTATCCTATAACCTGCCCAGCAGTATGAAGAATAATTATACCAAGTTTCGTTAAAATCCGTCGAGTAGTTTTTGTTTCTATAAGGAACATACAGACAGACAGACAGACAGACAAAAATTTTACTGATTGCATATCTGGCATCAGTATCGATCACTAATCACCCCCTGATAGTTATTTTGAAAATATATTTCATGTACAGAATTGACCACTCTACAGATTTATTATAAGTATAGATTTTTATTATATTATACATATAACTAAAAAAATGTAATTTTCGCAATTTTTCCTATATTGCATTATATGACAATGCTTTATGCCAAATTTCAAGATTCTGAGTTTACGGGAAGTATCCTGTAGGTTTGATTCCTTTGCGAGTATCGAAAATTTGTTGAAAATATCGACATAATCGGCTGTATCTTTTGATTGGCTTGGCTTAGAAATTTGATATTTTCACAGCTTAAAGGGACCTGAGTATTTCATGTGAATTTCAGCTTGATACGTTCACGTGTTCTTGAGATAAAGGGTCTTGACAGACGGACGGACAGACGGACAACAAAGTGATCCTATAAGGGTTCCGTTTTTTCCTTTTGAGGTACGGAACCCTAAAAATGTTTCCCGTAAGTAAAACTAAAGAAATGATCGCAAAACCTAATAAAAAAAATCTAATTAATCAAAAAAATCTGATTTTATTGATTAAAATAAAAAAAACATGATTTTCACCCGACCTGCACTCCATATTATAGTGGTTTCTAATAAAATAAATAACTTATTAAGAACTAGCTTTTGCCCGCGGCTTCACTTGCGTTAAGTTTAGTTTGTCACAGGCAGTCATCATAGCTCGTTATAAATTTATTCATTATTCCCGAGTAATAAACTATTCTTCTGTGACAGATAGAAATTCACGTGGTCGAAGCCGCGGGCAAATCTAGTCATAAATAAAATTGGCTTTAAGTAACACCTATTTGAGATCAAATTTTATTTACCTTTAA